ATTTTTTAAAAATGGCAACGTTATAGCAACTAAAATTGTCTAAATATTAGTTTTGATTTTAAATTGTTATCATAACAATTGTTTTTGCTAACTAGTGCGTGGCCCGTGCGATGCACGGGAAAATAATATTACGATTATATTATAAATTAAATTATAATATCATTAATTATGATTTACACATTGTTTTTAAATTAAACCAGGTTGAACACAGTCCGACCGGATGGACCGAGAACCGGGTCATAAACAGTGTAGTTCGCTTGAATAAAATATTTACTATTGAATCCGTCAACATCAGTCAGTTGGACTGGTAGATCGTTACGATTTTCTAAATAAATTTTGTTACATTTAAAATTATTTTAAATAAAATTACATATTTAAATAAAATAGAGATTTATAAATTATTTATCAATTAGTTTTAACATTTGAATTTATAAATTGTTTAGATATTTAAGTAACACATTTTATTAAAATTTATTACAAAAAGTACTCTCTCTCTTTCTATATATATATATATATTAAAATGTATGTATATTGATATTAAAATGTTTATAAATTAAAATCTGAATAAACTACAAATGATTTAATAGAATAATTTGATTGTTTCGATGATGGTTCGATTCTGAAAACCATATTCACTGTACATTAATAAAAAATATAATAAAATAATATTTTATTCACATAAATATTAATAAAATGATAAATAAATATTCATTAATCATTAAACATGTTGTCATATAAACGTATTGTGAATATGGTAATAATTCAACACGTGTATTTGTTTTAGGAAATGAATAACAAACTTAATATCAGTTTTGAATATTGATAAGGTGTATGAAATATCTTCTCCTTACGACATTTTGTTTTTGAATCTTAAAATTATCCCAAATATCTTTATCTTATAATACGATTGTTGTTTCTTCAATTTATCGTTAAAAAAATATGTTTAAAAGGCGTATGAAATGTGATTATTTTGTTACCATAAAAATATGTGATAAGGATGCTGTTAATGAGGCGTGTGAAATGGGATTATTTCGTTACCATAAAAATTATGCGATAAGGACGCTGTTAAGTTTAAAAGGCCTGTGAAAAGGACATAAATGCTGTCTTAATAAGGTGTGAAATGGACATAAGAGTTACCGATTTTGGAAAGTAATTAATGCAAAATTGACTTTGATCATTAATTAAGTTACTAATTTTGATAAATGTTAATTCTTATTATATAAGTATAGATATGGTAACAAAACTTTTGTTTACTGTAACAACTTTCGCGTTTGTTATCATATTTTCACAAAAGTTTTAATCAAAACTTGTTATCATATGGTTTTTGGTAGTATATTTTAAAATTGTCTAAACAAGTTATGATAACTATTGTTATCATATTAGTTTTTTGCAAGTTTTGATTCAAACTTGTTATCATATTAGTTTTTTAGCAACTTGAACCATACGATAATCAAAACCTTATCATTGTTGACAAGCTTCAATTTAATATCTATATTTCATAAATAAATAAATATATATTTACTTTTAAAAATTTTTAAGTTATCTATTAATATTAAGTAGAAAATAATATAATTAATTATCAACTGAAAAAATTTATATATTAAGTCCATTATATAATACTAATTAAAAATATTACAATATAGGAGGGATAACAAGTTTCATTTAAATATAAATAGAAACAATAATAATAAAGTATTTTTTATATTTTAAAGTGAAGACAAAAACTTCTAATTTTTATTACTTTTTAAAATTTAGATATACATTTTTTATTAGCACTCATGTAGTACAAGAGGTTGCTCTTTATATGATAATGATGTCAAAACAAGCAGATGCGAAAGCCGCGAGACTACATGTATCACTAGGGGGCTAATTGCCCTCCCTGTAAGAATATGTGGCGCGAAAGTATTAGGCTCACAATTAATTATCCTATTGGGCTAGACTTTTATTTAATAGTCAAATAAATCTAAGCTATTAATCTGGATATTTGATGGACGTACCAGATCTAAAGCACCCCCTACATAAATTAGTCATCTCTCCTCCTATTAGGGTACGCAGTATTATCTCATCACTTGTCTGCTACGTTAAGAGAAGGTCAGGAGAGAGAAACTGATTTAGAGACCCATCGATTCAACTCTGTGTGATCATCAAGATCAAGATCACAAATTATGTCTGTCTTCCGCATCAAGTAAGTATTTCGTATACACAAATTATTTATTCAAGATCCTTAATGAAGTTTATATGTCGTATCAGAGCATGTGTTGTGAATAAATAATTTGTTTGTATAAAAGCATGTCCGTATGGTAATTTATGAAAGTTTCACCTCACTGTGTTGTATGGATTGTCGTCATTCGTAAGTGATATCGCAATTGCCGAATGAAATTAAATGGCTTGATTGATTGCGATTTGAGTTGGTTGTGATGGGTAATTTTTGTACGGATGTGTGTGGCAATCNCTAATATATTACATGTTTTTTTTTTGGCAAATTGAAAGCATAAAACATTAAGTTGGGGAATATTCAATTGCTGCTACAACATATGTTAGCCATGTGCGCATTACATTGGTGTGTATGAGTGTATCTCAATTTGAATGATGTAGGCAGTAAATTATGAATTCCCTTACTTTATCTTTGAACATACCTTGATTCTGTTAAGGATTCTGTTTAATGTGTATTATGTGTTCATGACGGAGGAATTACTTATGATGTGTATTATGTGTTCATGATGGAGGAATTACTTAAGAGATCATACACGATTAGCTCATGGAAATAATATTATGTGAATTCCTCGGACTGAAAGTGTTAAGCTTGCTTTGACACTATAATTGTTTATTATATGACATTAAGATAAAATTAATTTGTTAGTCACCAAAGTGGCCTTGTTAAGCTTGCTTTGACACTATAATTGTTTATTATATGACATTAAGACAAAATTAATTTGTTAGTCACCAAAGTGGCCTAATTAATTTTTAATGTTCGGTCATATAATTTATCGTTATGAATGTTTTATTATATGACATTAAGACAAAATTAATTTGTTAGTCACCAAAGTGGCCTAATTAATTTTTAATGTTCGGTCATATAATTTATCGTTATGAATGTTTTATTATATGACATTAAGATAAAATTAATTTATTAGTCACCAAAGTGGCCTAATTAATTTTTAATGTTCGGTCATATAATTTTATAGTTATAATTGTTTATTATATGACATTAAGAGAAAATTAATTTTTTAGCCACCAAAGTGGCCGAATTAATTTTCTAATGTTTGGTCATATAATTTATGTTCTCTTGAGAATGTCATTATGTAAGATAATGCGTTTATTGATTGTTAGAAATTATGGATTTACCCAAAGGTGAATCAATGTTCTATAACTAATAAACATTAAGGAGAAATATAATATCCTTTTGTCGAGCGTATATAGATATCCAAAGATACTATGTATGTTAGACGAAGTTTATTTAATTTCTCATTAATTGTTAAATGACATTCAACTTATGATGATGATATATATTGTTGAGTTTATCCAAATGAGGCCTGCAATATATGGTATGAATGTATTTTCTGAATCTATTAGTTAAGTGAGCGTTTATGATTGTGTATGTCTCTCTTTATTCGCAAGCTTCTTCTGTTATTGTCTTCAATGGTTTGAATTTCTCTGAATGGCGTGAGCAAGTCAATTTCCATTTAAGTGTTTTGGATATTGACTTGGCTCTGCTTGAAGAAAAGCCCGCTGACATTACTGATCAAAGCAGTGAGGCTGAGAAATCAAACCGTAAGGCTTGGGACAGGTCTAACAGATTATGTTTGAGCTTTATGCGAATGGCGATTGCCAACAACATTAAGTCGACTCTTCCCGATAATGTGGATGCGAAAGCATACCTTTTGTTTGTGGAAGAGCGTTTTCGTTCCGCGGATAAGTCATTGACAGGAACACTTATGGCTGAACTCACGACCAAAAAGTATGATGGGTCACGTAGTATGCAGCAACATGTTCTTGACATGACTAATCTTGCAACAAGGCTTAAGTCCCTGGGCATGACCTTTGATGACTCATTTCTGGTGCAATTTATGCTTAACTCGTTGCCTCCTGAATATGGGTCATTTCAAATTAACTATAACACTATTAAGGATAAGTGAGATGTTAATGAATTGGCCAGTAAGCTTGTTCAGGAGGAGACGAGACTTAAAGCACAAGGAGTTCATACGGTCAACCTTGTGGGTCATGGAGCTAATAATGTTCTCAAACCGAAATCCAACAAGTTTAAGAAGAAGGGACCTGCTAAAGTTTCACAGGTCACCAATGATGAAAAGAAGAAAAATCAGGCAAATAAATGTTATTTCTATAAGAAAGAAGGTCATATACAGAAAGATTGCCTGAAACGCAAGTCTTGGTTTGAAAAGAAAGGTATTTTCTAATATCTTTGTATGTTTCGAATCAAACTTGTCTGAAGTTCCTTCAACTACATGGTGGTTGGATTCTGGTGCTACAACTCATGTTTCTAATGTGATGCAGAGATTTCTTAAATCCAGAGAATAAACCCAAATGAGAACTTTTTGTTTATGGGGAACCATATGAAGG